TATATCATATAAGTATATTAGCTAACAAACTCTAAAGAGTTTTTTTGCTAATTGGCTTAAGTTTCATCATATCTTAAGCATTATGGTTACATTATAACATGTATTAGCTAACAAACTCTACGGAGTTTTTGCTATTATATATGTAACTTAAGCTTATTCATATCTTAAGCGCAGTACTATGTTTATATCATATAGGTATATTAGCTATCAAACTCTAAAAGAGTTTTGCTATTATATATTTGGCTTAAGTTTCATCATATTTTAAGCTTTATGGTTACATTATAACATGTATTAGCTAACAAACTCTACGGAGTGTTTTGCTATTATATATGTAGCTTAAGGTTTCCTTCATATCTTAAGCTCAATACTATGTTTATATCATATAAGTATATTAGCTAACAAAACTCTAAAAGGCTTTTTGCTATTATATATTTAGCTTAAGGTTTTCCTTCATATCTTAAGCTCAATACTAGGTTTATATCATATAAGTATTCTAGCTAACAAACTCTAAAGGGTTTTTTGCTATTATATAATTAGCTTAAGTTCATCATATCTTAAGCAGTATGGTTACATTATAAAATGTATTAGCTAACAAACTCTACGGAGTTTTGCTTTTATATATATAGCTTAAGTTTAATCATATCTTAAGCTCAGTACTATGTTTTTTAACATAAAAAGTATATTAGTTAATAAACTCTAAGGAGTTTTTTGCTATATACATTTAGCTTAAGTTTAATCATATCTTAAGCTTAATACTATGGTTACAATATAAGTCTATTAGCTAATAAACTCTACAGAGGTTTTGGCTATTGTATATGTAGCTTAAGTTAATTATATCTTAAGCACAGTACTATACTCATATTGTAAAAATATATTAGCTAACAAACTCTACAGAGTTTGCTATTATATATGTAGCTAAAGCTTATTCATATCTTAAGCTCAGCACTATGTCTATATCATATAAGTATATTAGCTAACAAACTCTAAAGAGTTTTGCTATTATATAATTAGCTTAAGTATATCTTAAGCTTAGTACTATGTTTATATCTTAAAGTAATTTAGCTAACAAACTCTAAAGGGTTTTTTGCTATTATATAATTAGCTTAAGTTCATCATATCTTAAGCAGTATGGTTACATTATAAAATGTATTAGCTAACAAACTCTACGGAGTTTTGCTTTTATATATATAGCTTAAGTTTAATCATATCTTAAGCTCAGTACTATGTTTTTTAACATAAAAAGTATATTAGTTAATAAACTCTAAGGAGTTTTTTGCTATATACATTTAGCTTAAGTTTAATCATATCTTAAGCTTAATACTATGGTTACAATATAAGTCTATTAGCTAATAAACTCTACAGAGGTTTTGGCTATTGTATATGTAGCTTAAGTTAATTATATCTTAAGCACAGTACTATACTCATATTGTAAAAATATATTAGCTAACAAACTCTACAGAGTTTGCTATTATATATGTAGCTAAAGCTTATTCATATCTTAAGCTCAGCACTATGTCTATATCATATAAGTATATTAGCTAACAAACTCTAAAGAGTTTTGCTATTATATAATTAGCTTAAGTATATCTTAAGCTTAGTACTATGTTTATATCTTAAAGTAATTTAGCTAACAAACTCTAAGGAGTTTATACTAGCAATTTAACAAGCTTAAGTCTATTAGTCTTAAGCATTGTATTAATGTTATATATACTTTATCATAATAAGTACATTGTAATAAGTACATTGTAATAACCTTTATATGGCAGCTGATAAGTTAGCAGCAGGAATTCATCAGTTCAGTGCCTTTATGAAGTTCCCATAGGGTTATTACAATCATCACAGTTCAAATCACTAATTATTAAAATCCAAAGTATTATATATTCCCACCTCCTTTCCGTAGGATTCTACAAGCAAAAAGAGCATGAGTCAGGATAAGGAAAAATATGTAATTTTTAGAGTAAAATTGATATTTTATACTTATCCTGACTCATGAGGTAAGCCCTCCCATCCTCCCCACATAACACTTTGGATTTCCCTGTAAATTCAAATGTTGGGCTCAGTATATGAGGAGAGAGTGAGGCACATGGGTAGAGGTGGCGCCCTCGTTCCCGCGCTTGTGGAAGGGAGGTAACTCATGATGTACTAATTAGTGATTTTACATTGAAGGGAGCTTCAATTAGGGAGATACAAGTGTTCCACTATGTTCGCAAGAAGAAGAAGACAAGCAAAAAGAGCATGAGTCAGGATAAGTATAAAATATCAATTTTACTCTAAAAATTACATTTCTGTAATAACCCATATGAAGTCAATCTTTGCACGCCATGGAGTGCCAGACAAAGTTATCTCGGATAATGGACCCCAATATGCGTCAAGTGAATTCAAACAGTTCTCACGGTCATACGACTTCAAACATGTGACATCTCCTCCAACCTATCCTCAGGCTAATGGACTAGCCGAGAAGTCTGTTCAGACAGTCAAAAGAATGTTGCTGAAAGCAAAGGAAAGAAATGAAGACCCATACTTATCACTCCTTGCTTATAGGAACACCCCTGTATGTGCTCTTGGATCGCCTGCTCAGCTGCTGATGAGTCGAAGACTCAACACAAACTTGCCTTGCCATAATGAGATGTTGCAACCGAAAGTGGTCAACCCAGAGAATGTTCGGAAGGCAATAACAGAGGCGCGAATGTACCAGAAACAGTATTATGATCGAACGTCCAAAGTTCGACAACCCCTGTATCCGGACGACAAAGTGCGAGTGAAACTTGGAAGAGATTGGGTACCAGCAACGATCACAAAACCAGCTGATACTCCCAGGTCTTACCATCTGAAAACTATGAACGGTGTTGCATATCGGAGAAATCGACGTGATATAAACCCCACCAAAGAACTCTTTCAACCAGACCAGCCCTCAGTGTATGAAAGACCAGTGATTCCAGACCAACCAACAACACCCGCACCAACGTCCAGCTCACCGATGAAGCAAGCCTCTCCAGTCCGACCTCAGAGCATTCTGAGGAGAAACCCAACTACCTACACGTCAAGTGGTCGACCAGTGTTCAAAACCGGGTCGGTTTGAAGATTGACATTGAGTTTAAAGCATTCTGTTGAAACATATTTTGAAAGACTGTTAATTTTAAACTATATTTTTTTTATCAATGTGAAAGTTAAGTGATAAGAGTTTAGCCTAAAGTTTTTGCAGTTACAAGGAAGTTTGAATATTTCATTAGCTGCTTATGTGTTAATATGAATAAGTTTTGGTAAATTTTAAATGAAGGTTTTCTTTAGTAAAACGAAGGGGATGTCATGTATGGTACTTAAGAATCATATTCCGATTTAGTCATAACCATTCCAACTTTTATATACATCCTTAATCTGATTCCTTCTTTGGGTGCCTGTACAACTTTTGTGTAAAAAGAACGTCACTGATGTACACAACATGGCTACCGGTCAAATAAATTGATGATGTTCAATCCATGTGTGATCTTTGTGTTCACAAGCCATCCTAACTTAATGAAGATGAAACAGGGCTCTCGGGCTTAATGAGTTAAGTTGATCTTTGACGATATTTTTCAATTGATTTCAAACACTAACATTCATGATTGAATTTTATTGTGTACTTTTGCACATATTTATTTATCGGATGATCCTCGGGTGATGCATGTCAAGACTCATGACAAAAACCAAGGAATGCCACGGCTATTTTAAGCATGCAAAGGTTGTTGGACAGAATCTGAAATTTGAGGTTGATTTTGTTGGTGGCAATGTACTTCTGGACGGTACAGCGATGGGAGTAAACCAGGTGACGTCCTTCACCAAGTCTGCCCACATTCGATTATTTGTGGAGAAGCTTTCTGAGGAACCATTGCATCGTGTGTACATGCAGTGTGTGGAACAGAACGGTAATTCAACCGACTCCTTCGCCTGGATGAAGTCGGCTGGTCTTAAATGTGAAACTGAAGGCTTTCTTTTTGCTGTCCAGGACCCTCTCGCAATCGCCTAAATGTCATTCTAAACGAAAATATTTGCATGAAATGTCGATTGTGCAATGAATTTACAGAGACTGTCCAACAACTCGTCAGTGGATGCCCTTCTATGGCAAAACAGCATATCTTAAACAACATGATGACATGACTCGTTGCTTCTACTACCGTCTTCGCCATGCCTGTGGCTTTGACTCCGAGGTCCATCCATGGTACGACCCTGACCCTGAACATGTCCACGGTGTCATGGAAAATGATGCTTTCAAACTTCTGTGGAATAGGCCTGAGAAGAATTCCGCAAACAAACCGGATCATGTCCTTTTTAATAAAGCCAATGAATTAATTTATATCATTGAATTTTCTGACCCTTTTGACAGCAATGTGATTGGCAAGAGTCAGGAAAAGCATGCTAAGTATGCGGACTTCGTCTTTGAAATGTCTCGCTTTGCATCTGAAGTACACTGTCATCAGGCTCCCCATTGTTCTCGGTGCCCTTGGTTTGGTACCTCCTGATTTCTTGGCGCAGATCAGGATCGCGCCCGGGTTCTCCACCGGGAGCACAGTCCTTCTGACACTCTGGGTAATGCAGAAGGCTGACTATGCAGCTGATTTGTAGTTAGTGCCAGGGCTATTTCTTTTACCATAAAGACGTCAGTTCCAAGAGAAAGGAAACCATTCATGCAGTCATAGTACAAAGTCAATACTTCCTAGGCAGCATACCGGTATATTGCAGCCTTACAGTCATCTCCTTTCCACCATCTGTCAGTTGACTATTAGGATTTTGATCAGACTCATTTCCTCATGTGGCAAAACACACAAGTATAACTCACAGGTCGCTTCCACACAACAAATCAGCCTCTTGTTTTGCACAGGTGGGAAGGACAGTCGTGTATACAAATGTGCAACGTCTCAACAATATTTCTTACGTAAATTATCTTTCTATATTTGTTATCTTCTTCAGTTTATGTAACTTAACAATTGAAATTCAAGACACTTATGAAGCCAACTATGTTGCAGGTGGTGTATTGCGGATCGGGTATGAAAAACGACTTTCCGAATTTGCCAAGTTTGAAAACCAATTTGAGGTAAGTGTACTTTTGTATTTCTTAGTTTTGTATCTCAGTTGCTACCTCGGGTTATGTTAAGTTTCCAGTGCTTGTTGTACGAGATGCCTCATTGGATGGGAGTTCAATCGAAAAGGGAACATTTAGTCACACTGGGGATTTCATGATATAACATAGTTTCAGTATTAATTGATATGCTTGCCAAAGCATTTTTAAGCACAGCTTACTTTCTGTCCTTTAGCAATGCATCTCCAAGTCTGCTGTGAAGACCAAGTTTGAGCAGCACACTGTGAGCGGCAAATCCATCACATCCGATGTCAGGGGAATCATGGAGCAGGCATATACCACAAGTCTACAGCTGAAGTAAGTCACACATTACACTAACACTACACAAAGACTCACAATAATGCCCAGAAGAGTGACTGGAGTGACAGACTTTTGCCTATACTTCATATCAGTACAACACTTGCATCCCTGTATGCTGTCTGTACTGAAGATATTTGAGTCTGTTGGCTGCAAGTTGGTCATGTTAATATTTTTTATGGATTTCACTTCTTACCTAGCGGAAGACCGAAAGATATAGTTAAAAGTCAACGACTTTGTAAGTGACCATGGTTCTATAAGTGGATGTTGTGAAACATGAATGTGTGTTTTGATGATACTGGATTTTGTGAGCCATAGCAATAGTGGAAAGGTGGTACTGTGGTCAACATGATTCCTCCTCTGTCTCTAGAACTAACCAGGAAAAAAAGCGACAGGACAAAGAGGGTGAGCTAAACGTCCTGGAGAAGGAGCTGACCTGGCTGAACGATGACACGATTAAGGCCTTGGTGGAAGAGATGGATAGGAAAGTAAGGGCCTTTCAGATCTGACCTCTACTCTGTGGGGTTAGAATAGGTCCTGACCTGCTGGGTCAGAATAGGTTTCATGCGATACATATTTACAGGAACAATTAGGTATCTTATTTGATCTGATGGTTAGGCTTTGTTTATTGTGTGTTTTCATTCCATGGCGGCAAGTGAGTTTGACATAGTAATATTAATGCCAACCACATTCTGTCCTAGACTTCAATATTTACAGGCCTTTTAAATATAGAAGGCATACTGTTTACCTGACATATAACAACATTATGTCACTGAACATTTAAAGGATTACACTTTGGAATTGAAACCACTACCTTCATGTTCAATTTGTTAAGTTCCACCAAATATACAGGTCAAAAAAGCGCTGGAGGAGGAGGAGACCGGCCGCCTGTCTGCCCTGGTGGAGCAATATGACCAACCCTTCTGTGCTGACAAGGTCAAAGATTACAAGAAGGTGGGCACAACAACACACACAATTTTATATCAACCCAAACTGTAATGCTCATTTGACTGAGTGAGTTAATTTTAAAGTCACATCGGCAGTATTTCAGCCATATCGTGACCATGAGAGTTCCATATTAAAATAAACCTAGTCAGTATAAATACCTCTCAGCGAAGGACAGTAAAATAGCTACAAGATCACAGGTGAACCTTTAAAACTAGCACGTAGGCGACAATAAGTTTACACTACTTAACCCCCTTTGATGGTACTGCCACAAACGATCTCAACTATGAGATGCATTCGTCCAAACATTTACAAGGAGGTCGGCACAACAACGCCAATTAATTTCTTGTGGCCTAATGAAATCTGATAATCAGAATGTATTTGTATTTCACGTGGTAAACATACTACTCAACTTTTGACAGGGAGATTCTGTTGGATGTAGAGTGAGTTATTCAGTCCCAAATCCCCATGAAATATTTATTGTATAACCCTTTAGGTATGAGTGATTGCTGAAAATAAGTCAGCTATAAAATTCAAGTTTTATGGTTCAAACTCATGCAAATATCCAAAAGATATTACACTGCGTGTTTTATCCTATACGGGTAATATTGGTTGATATTCCCAAATTTGATTTGGCGATTTCCCAAGTCAGGTTCATAAGTTATGAATATTTGTCCTGGCTATTGATATGGTAAAAAGGATGCTTACCATTTTGATGCTTACCATTTGACACAGTATAACAATAACTCTAGATATATATAGTCCTCCTGAGAGGGTATGTAAGTCCCAAAAGTTTCAAAGTTAAATTTTTGCTTACTCGATTTTAAGACGTAGTATATTTGTTCCTTTAAAATTCGGCTCAACTTGTCCTACAATCGCCAGTGGCTAAGGGGATGGTATAAATCCAATTAGGGCCCATGCAGGTAGCAAAGGTACTGTCCCCATGGTCCCTAGTATGGTGATCTACCTTCAGTTGTTGGCGATGTATAGCACATTTTTATATTGTATTGTCCAAAAATAATTTTCTACTTTTAAAAATATATATGCTACCCTGAGTTTTAACTCAATCTGTGATAATCTAGTGGTTTTACTGTCCTTCGTTGACAGGGTTTTATATATTATATGTATGTATTATGAATTTATAACTAGTTTTAGTCACGATATGGCTGAAATATTGCCGATGTGACTTTAAATCTTAGCTCACTCACTCTAAATATATATGTCCTAGTTATGTCTATGAATTTGTGAGTACCCCAGATTATGGGATTCTCCGAAAAACACCTGTTTCATTTCATGCTTTCCTTACTTGCAGTGATGTGAATAGCTGTTAAGTCGATGTTTAAACTAAATTCTCTCACTCAGTGAAAATATGTCCTTGTAAAAAACCTTCCAAAACAGTTATGTTTACCCCGTTGTTTGCCAGGGGTTCTTAGTTGGAGTCTGAGATAAAAACTCTGCCTTGGTATACAAGGTGCAGTTGTATATAGAAATATTCCAGATTGACTAAGTGTAAATGGATCATTGCCTCTGTAGATGAGCATGATGGTCTCACCATCTTGTTATACTTGTCGCTTTACGCCTTGGGGTCACAAACAGGCTGTCAGTGCAGTGTTCTCATCTCATATTTCCCAATAACTAACTACACATAGATCAAAGATTGTTCTGTGGAACTGGTCCCTGAGATGCTGTAGATTGACAAATGAAGCCAATTGCTGTCGTCCATAATTATTGCTGGAATTTTGTTACGAGCACCTCAAACCCAGATGTGACAGCTTGTTTGTTGACTCCCCTATCTCCACCCCATCGTATCACGCGACTTGTACATCTGGTTTCCTACTTCAGGGGTTGAATGCACGTGTAAAGGAGGAGGAGATAGGACGTGACCTGAAGGATGCTTTCTTGGCAAGCATCAACACCATTGAAGCAAGGATGGCAGGTAAAGGGTGCTATTATTCATAGCTGGCATTTGATAGTGCAGCCTTACCATTCGGTTTGTCAGTGACTTGTGTTCAAATATTGCAGGTTGCATAAAACAATCTGCTTCATCTGAAGTTTATGGAAAATGCGATTGGACTGGAATAATCCCCCAAATACAAGCAGGTTTCACTGCCATGAGCATGTATCATCATTTCGTGACAGAAGGGTTTTGGACCGAAAAATAGAACTGTTCTATTTTCATTTTTCTTCTTTGGGTTATTAGGGCGGTGGGGTTACTAAGTGCTTAAAGGGTTCGCTCGTCACGCCGAAGACCCGGGTTCAATCACTCCCAAACCCCACCACCACCACCCCTTTCCCCTGGTACAATGTGTGGAGCCCATTTCTGGTGTATTGCTTAAAGCTTCGTGAAACTGAACTGGGTTACTGTAGGCTTAATCTGTAATAAGCTGGTTCCGGGCTCCCTATGCTGTAGCTGTGATGGGATTGTATACATCATTATCCAAAACTATGCTGATATTTGCAAAGATAATGAGGTTAAGGACAAATCAAACATAAATAAAGTAACATTTCCTGAATTTTGGTGAATTACTTGATTGATACTTGAATGATTTTCACAGTAGGAACCTGTAAAAATTGTCAAATGTGTGCAAACCGATTTCAAGATTCATGTCGCCTATGTCTCATATATAACTGAGTTTAATTTCGTGTATTTGTATCAACAAATATCTGGCAAATCCAAAAAAAAATTCTGGATAAATGTTTGTCGTAAAAAAGTCGTATTTTCAATGTTATCCCATGTTTTGTTCACAAGACACTATAAGGTTTATTACAATGTTATGTCACGAAAATTGCAGTATATAAACATGATTTTTTAATATTCACCAGTCCTAATTACATGGCTTATGGATCAAACAAAAGTTACAAGCGCGAACTCTAACTACAATTTTCAAGTAAATGCAAAGGTCACCGGAAGTGATTTCAGAGACACATCTTTCGTTATTGAATATTTATAGTAAATTTGGACATGTTTCGTCTGTCAAAGGTTACACTTCTAACTTCAGAACAATTGAATAACATAAAAATACGTAGGCATCGAAATTACACTCTTGGTTAATATTGATGATAGATTTATCATAGCTGTTTACATCTTTCAACATTTTCAGGTATTTTAATATGCAAATTGTTACTATGCAGTTTATTAACAACTAATAATGAATCCACCCTACGCAATCTAGCTCTCTATGTTAAATGAACATTTATTCGTCGTAACGAGCACTTACAGTTAACCATGTCTTAATGAATGTAACTCGCTTGTATAAGGGCCGGTGGCCTAAAATACAATAAACGATTCTCTTGTCTTGTCTTGTCTACTTATACATTTTATTGGTCTTTTTTTCTCTCTCCAAATGAAAAATAATGGGTAATAGCTCTAAACATCATTAGCAAAGCGTAAATAACCAGTCTTCAATTACTGTCTTTCATCCTGATATCACCCGGGAAGGTCCGGGTTAGAATGAACCTTCAGTGACTTATGTTTGTCGTAAGAGGCGACTAACGGGGATCGGGTGGTCAGGCTCGCTGGCTTTGTTGACATGTCATCGGCTTCCAATTGCGCAGATAGATGCTCATGCTGTTGATCAATGGAATGTCTGGTCCAGACCGCCGCCATATAGCTGGAATATTGCTGAGTGCGACGTAAAACTCAACTCAACTCATCCTGATATCTGGTGTGTGGAAAACTAACAAAATTAGTCTGATATGGTCATTTTATATTACTTCATAACATTTCATGACATAAACAGTCAATCTATCCGTGTAGTCATCGGAGTCGCTGCTCCAAGACAGTACGTCATTCTGTTTCCCATAAGAAGTCTGTGTCCTTTAAACGGCTACATAAAAACATGCACAAGGTGCAAATTTGCATAAATATGAGATTGAAGTTTTGGCGTTTTATGTTGCACCAGTGCACACTCTAACTCTTTAAATTGAGCCCTGTCACTTCACTAGGTAAATAGTTATTGCTAGTTTTAATTCGGGATGACATTATTGTACTCTCCTGTCGAATGAGTTCCACAGCAGTATTGAGCAAAGGCCCTCGTTTCTTTGTGAGGATTAAAAAGATTAACAGTTACGGCTCAGTGATTGTGCAGGGTGAATTTGTTACCCCTGCTTTGGCTGCGACAAAACTTCACCCAGCACCCCAGTCAGGGCCAATCAACGCAATCTCATGACCACCGGTGAACAGATTTCACAAGATAAACTAAGTGACCTATATTCATATCATTTGCTACAAGTTGAATTTTAACTGAGTGAACTATGCCAATGACAAGTATTATTAAGTATGGAGATTTCCTTGTTTCTCCATTGCATTATGGCAAACGTTCATGTAAACACTCGTTTCATTCCCGATGGACGCAGCGGTCAGTACTTGGTCTACTAATCCAGGTAGGGTCCATGTACGAAGCAAATGTACTGTAAAGTCCCATGGTCCCTAGTATGGTGATCTACCTTCAGTTGTTGGCAATATAAAGCCTGTTTTTATATTGCATTGTCATCTATAGTTAAACTGTTTTAGGTCGTATTACTAGTTTTAAATACGAATCGGTGATAATCTAGTTATTTTACTGTCCTTCGTCGACAGGTTTTTACAATTTACCATTAATTACTATGTATAAAATTAATTGTTCTCTTCACGATATGGCTGAAATATTGCCGATGTGACGATACATTTTAACTCACTCACTCACTTGGTCTACTGGGGCTGTTAGTTCAGTATCAAGACCAGATGAAATGCTTACATCCATTGGAAGTGTTGTAGGAAAGACTGTCGATCAACATTCAACACTAAAGATTGCCTTGTGACATCGTACAAGGATGGGGTGGCATCGTAAAGTGAGTGATGTGATTACCAAAAGCCACCCCAACATTTATAAGGTCAATGACTTTTAAGGCCTCCACCTAGGAAGAGAAGATATGTTGAACTGAACCATGCCTTGGAAAGGAACAAGAGAGAACTAGCAACTGGTGCCATGTCATACATTGACTCAGCATCACTTTAACTGGATATTAAGTGCATTGCTGTGAAATATTGATGTTTTATTCACGTAATATGTGATATTGATTTTGTATTAAGTAGTATAAGTGGATAATAAGTGTATATAAATGATTAATAAATATAGGTAAACATTGACTCAAGTAGTTGATATTTTTTCACATTTGGTCCCGGATACTATGTCACAGGGAATAAAATAAGGGATTAAAGGGGATTATCATACCCCAGGGATTTGTTATACTGATCAATAGGAGTTTGGTAAGTGGGAAGACCCTGTTTACTCGTTATAACAATTTCTTTGCTGTCATTGTTTCACTGTTGTACCCAATGTCTTCACATTTGGTGACACCCTACATTGGGGGATTACACAGACAGCAGTCATATCGATTTTGGTGACCTTGACTTTATTTTTAAGGTCACCACGACACTTTCGAAACTCTTGTTAACGCGATATCTCATGAACTGTTGTACCCAATGTCTTCAAATTTGGTGACAGCCTACATCAGGGGATTACACAGACAGCAGTCATGTCGATTTGGTGACCTTGACTTTATTTTCAAGGTCACCACGACACTTTGACCACTTTTGAAACCCTTGTTAACGCGATATCTCATGGACTGTTGTACTCAATTTCTTCAAATTTGGTGAGAGCCTACATTGGGGGATTACCTAGACACCAGTTGATTTGGGTGACCTTGACCTTATCTTTAAGGTCACTACGACACTTTGACCACTTTATCTCATAAAACATATCACCCAATGTCTTCAATTATGCTGACAGCCTACATTGGGTCATTTCAAGCATCTTGTAAATAATTTCATGAGCAATTACCCCTTCAACCTCAAAAAGAACATACACACAAGTCAGTTATACGATCGATCAAGTAATAAATACTGCATATCTGCAATTTGTGCAGAACATTGGCGATATGAGGACAGTGTTGCAGTTTAGTAATCTTTTTAACCCAAACAAATGACGAGAAGTTGATCGAATTATCGTCTGTAATGTAATAGTAGATCGTGGAATATATTTATCATATATTTATATGCAAGAAACTATATCTTTTTCAATGCAATTGTATTTTACAAGGCACTGAGGAAGTACAGATTATGTTGCTGCTATTTATACAGGAAGGTAGTACTCAGGTATCAGGGTTATCCTGAACAAACTGTAAGCGACCTGTCAAATAACAGTTGTAACTAATGTTACCATGGCTTATTTGGAATTTGGGGCCGTGTTTGTGTCAGTTACATCCTTGTTAGAGTTTCAGTATATTAACGTCAATTCGTTCTTTACAAATACTATCGATCAAAGGACTCTTTCCTCTTTCCTGTTACGGAACTTTTCATAATTTGCAAATTTCAGTAACAGGAATGAGGAAATAGTTTATCAACCTTCTGTACGCGATTGAAAACAAACAATAATGTGTCAAAGCAATGACACAACTAAATTGTATTGTTCGGATTAGCCCGATACGACCTGTTCTTGGCGAAACAGGTAGATATTCTATTTTTGTTTCAACACATTTAAGAGCAGTCAGCTGTTGAATTGACGTTATTACGCATGTATGCTATTAGAAACCCATACCAATGTTATGTTATGTTATGTTAAAACAATTAGATGACAAAGTTTAAAATAGCTGGGTGTCTGATATTAGAAATATTCTTTTCATGTGTGGGTTCTCTTATGTTTGCATATCACAGGATGTGCAGGGTATAAGGATCAACATTTGATGATAAATCTTTTAAATTCTAAGAATGAAGATGTTATTACCTCTGTTGCTCGTTTTCTGAAATATACATATTATATATACATCCATCCATCCATCCATCCATCCATCCATCCATCCATCCATCCATCCATCCATCCATCATCATCCATCCATCCATCCATCCATCCATCCATCCATCCATCCATCCATCCATCCATCCATCCATCCATCCATACATACATACATACATCCATACATACATACATACATACATACATACATACATACATATACAGAGTTTGTACTTATCACGTTTTACAGTTATGAAAATTGGATGAAGTGAAATATGTATTAGCAAAAGGATTAGGGGACAGGGCTTACTGGACATACTAGTACTTGTTGTATATATGATTCCCACTGAACGGTTCTTTGTTAGTATTACTTATTGCTTCATATTATATAACACAACAGGAATTAGGCGGGATATAGTGGTAGCTGTTTGGTAATACCCGACACCGCTCTGTGTCTTAATTTTAATGTCGAATTTTACTGCAAGTATTGAATTTGAAAAGAAAAACGTTTCATTGTGATCACCGGTATTTTTGTTGTTGTTTGATCGAATCATCAATGGTCATTCTGAAACATCGTAGTTGAACCGAGAATCGCTGAGAATGTTTTGAAAAACAAGAACTTTCAGTCATATTGCAGAGTGTTTATGAAAACATGTCACACGTATGTCGGTTATGTTTCGCCCATTACATCACAACTATAATTCAATATTAGCTTCCTAACGCAAACCCGTGCAGAGCCTGGTTAGAAAGGGATCGGGTGGTCAGGCTCGCTGACTTGGTTGAAAAATGTCATCGTTTCACAATTGCGTACATCGATGGCATGCTGTTGATGTCCAGACTCGATTATTTACAGACCGCCGCCATATAGCTGGAATATTGATGTGTGCGGCGTAAAACTAAACTCACTCACCTAACTGCATAAAACCCAAGAAAATAGGTCAGCAATGTATGTTGGTCATATGAGGGGACTAAATGCATGGTTTGCTCAGGCCCTGTAAATTTATTGACTGAATCATTTCTCATATGTCAGGATGCATGCTCATGATCTCAATCACTGGTTTGTCTCAACTAGACTCATTTAGTCGGAGTAGATTAGTTGGTGTAGGGAATGTCTAGAATTTTCCTTAGTCCTTAAATCCAACATCCCAACAGACTTGAAGTGATCATATTTTGGGGTGATTATGTCTGTTTGTTGAAGGAAGATGGTTAATGACAGTTTACAACGAACTTTTAATGAATGAAATATTTCACTGCATCACAAGGAGCTAATTTCATGGACCTTGAATGTATCATTTGCATGGTAGACTGATTGTAAAGTGGCGAGAGGCAGCCAGTGCATGACGGCCAGCATGGATTAATGCTGCAATACACCCACAGTCACCATAACAGACTGAAGAAAGATATCATTGATATCTCATGACATATTTAGGTCCAATATAAGTAGCCCACTCTCCAATGACACCTAAATCGGAGTTGTTTACGATATGTTCTCAAGAAAGGTATTAATATTCAAAATTAGTTTTTCCCCTTATCATGTTAAAGTTCCTGGGTTCCTGGTGGTGAACGTCTTCTTCTTACCACAACAAGTTATCATGGTGTGATGTTATTATTGGAATGGGGTTAATCCCATTGCCTGTAAACACAACATACAGGGAAAAGTTGCCAGCAGTGTCTTACTCTGTGTAACAGGCATCAAATCCAATTACAAGGATAACAGGATTAACATTGATCATTTGAGGATGTTATGTATTGACTATTACATGTTTGCGCGTAGGAAGTAAAGTGAAAAAATATCGATTGTATCCTTTGACTCATGTTGTTCAGTAACATGGAACAGTTTTAATCATTACAGTGTCATAATTCAAACAACCAGATTGACCATTCCTTGTGACAGTCATTTTATGTTTTCTGACTCAAATATGGTCTACAAAAAGTGATTTTAACCGCAAAAGAAGACAGTAATAGTCTATACAGTGGAAACAGAGACAGTTACCACAACAATTATTTCAATAAATCATCACTCCATCATCATAAACTAACTTCTTTCTGTTGACTTTTAGATCAACTGCCATCCATTCTACGAAACGAGACGAGACCAATGCCGTATGATCTCATTCCAAATAGAGATGATTGGATGGCTCGTGCACTTAACTGTCATAATCTTTATGAGGACTTTGAAGAGGACTTAAATTTCAAGCTTCCCTCCTCCCTTCAGTTGACTGAAACTCAGGTGGCATATTTACAAGCAGCTGGAGCTGTTGCGTGCGTTGTAAGTTGTCACTGAAATATCTGCCATATACGTTTACTTAGATGTATATTTTTCAGCTTCATTGAGAGCTAATGATTTGACAGCTGTTGACAATGTAGGACTAACCCTAAGTGGTTAATGTCTGAACAAAGTCCAGGTCAAAGTTCTATAAGTAGAATACCTAGCCCAAATCCATACTCACTCGCTCACCATATCTTAGGACAAGATATTACATTGTATGAAGCGTAATTATGGAGGTTAAAATGTAGGTGTTCGGCATGACTTATTTAAGCCTTTCTTTCTTTGTAACAGTTCATGCCAGACTCTCATTTAGCTAGAACAGCTTATTGATAGTTAATTTATTTCAGACGTTTTGAGAATGTTGAAACATTTGTTAAAACACAAAAGAAGATTTTGAGTTCTCTCAATTTCAACCCTTTTATTACATCTCTGACCACAGTTGGGTCGGAAACACAGTTCCAATGAAGCACACCGATCGTATCAAGATGAAATGCTGTTATCGTTACTCACTATAGTTATGTCCTTGTCATTGCAGGCACTGCATAGTCGTACAATATGACCTGTTAGTTCTAGTGAAGTAATACAAGATGTAGTAGCCAAGGGGGTACTTTCATCACTCATATACTTTCTCCTTTGTCTGAAACAAGTAGTTGTGTAGTCTTATGGTCTGATGAACAGATGTCTGTTCCTGTCCCTCCATAGATATGGCTTGAGATTGCTTCAGGGATTTCCACTTCCTCACTCTTTCATGACAAACTTGGCTGAAATGATAGTGATGATATATATTTATGCGCTGATTTTTAACTGAAACCAAATATTCTGATTCTGGTCCTAATAACTTCAGAATGGCAAGGCTTTCTGAGTTTTTTGTACTTCTTTTTTTTTAAACATTTGTACGATTATTGTCGGTTGAAGGCTGCGATAAACATTGAGACAGTCGCGCCAGCAGCACCAGTAGTACCAGCAGTGATATGCAGTGTCAATATGCTACCCAAGGTGTGGGAATGGTGGGTCTGGACGGATAAGCAAAAAGGGAAGGCTTTCAAGCAACAGTATAAGATGTATGTCAGCAGCAAACTCACAGACATCAAATCTGAATGTAGAAGCATGGTTGATGGGTGAGTAGCTTCTTTGACTTCACAACAAATGTCACTCATTAATGAGTATCCTTTGTCTTCACAACCCATTGTTCCAGTTTAGCTATTGTCCTTTGTATCCTCAATAGTTTGTCTCTTTGTAAGAGTACTATCAACACATTACTTCCTTAGAAAGTAATCTTTATCTCCACTCATTGTTCATCTTAAATACGTTGTCCTAGTCTCAACATGTCACAAGGAACTGGAAGGTATTGAATAGATGGCTGTGGTATGAGTATTTTCTGAAATCTCCTGTTGAGAGGTAGTTCAAGGGTTGTCATATTCCTACAAATACCATAATCTTGATGATGTTATTTGGAATCAAATGACAACCCTTGAATATGTAAACAGCCACATAGGTTGATATACATGTAGTTGGCTTTCTGGGACATTCGTTATGATGGTGTTTGTGTGTTGCAGGGAGCTGTCGTCTAACTTTGACCAACTGTGTCAACAGGTAAAGAGAACCAAGGACCAGCTGCAGGAGGACCTCGACCAGCTGAATGTCACCATCTCAAAGCTGGGGGGAGATCTCTGGCAAGTCCAAATCTCTGAGGTTAGTGTTGACATTGAAGGATGGCAAAGCCTTAGCTGTTGCAATATTGGATAGAATAGAATAGACTATCTCACAGCTGAATGATGTCTCTAGTAAGTGGAAGTCTCTGAGGTATGTCTAGTGAAAATCCCACAGCAGAAGGACATCTGTAGTGAGTTACAATCTCAAGAATGTATTGATTTTGAGGCAGTAATTGTTATATGCTATTCCTCCAATTGTGCTACGCCCCTACAGATTGACGGTAAAGGGGTACTGATCTACAGCAATTCCCTGGAACTGGTTGTTGCTTTTGTTATTTTTCACGCGACTACCCGGTATCACTGAATTGTTAACTGGGTTGCGATCTTTGCTGCTCCAACCTCAAGTGCAATTGGTAGTACAAGAAGTATCCTTGGATTGATCAACAAAGACGAAATACAGTTTCGTCTTGGAATTAATTGAAAAATATAGTCAACTTTTTACACATTAATATTTCCATCTTGACAATTATAATAAGAAATCAAAACATTTTGAACTTCCACATAATTTTGCTTTATAGTCCTGGCATAATTATTTTATTATAATATTTTTATACACTTCATGAAAACGTATACGATCGTTTTTGGTGAATTGACAAAAGGAATCTAATATCTAGACATTTCATATGTTGCTTAAGTGAATCACATTCGCTTAGTGCGACCTAAGTGCGACCTAGTGCAAGTTGTCTGTTGCACATTGAAGAACTTCATGGCGACAAATTAAATGAAGTGGAATGATTCTGTTGAATGCAACAAAAAATAAATAAAAGCAAAATACAAATGTTAAAATAAAAACCGACTAAAGTTATAGCAATAATATCAGGCTGTTACCTTGCTCGTGAAATATGTCCATCACTATCCAGATAAAAGGACATGCTGAGGTACACAATATATAGATATAATATGTAGTTACATTAAAAACAGCAGTAGGCCTTGCTGGCATACGAGACACTAAATACTTGATGATACATAATATAAAAGTGAATAACAGTTATAACTATGTTTACATACATACATGCGTGCGTGCGTGCGTACATACGTATATACATACACGTATACACGTGCATACATACGCGCACGCTCACACATGCGTACATACACATACATACATGTATGTGCACATATACGCACACACGTATACTACACGCACGCACATACATACAAAGTGACGTGTGCTCCACACAACATGTCCATATGAGAGATGTTCCTGAGTGCCGCGATTACTTCGGAATCCGTCTTGTTCCAGTGCTAAAATATCGTTACGCCCTATCCATCAGCAATTCTAAACAAGTTTTATTCTAAAGAGCCTTTGCAGGCAGAAGATCTGGTTCAGCAGCCTTGCCACCTTCTGCACGTGCAATCGCGCACCCGACCTCACCGAGCGTGATGGGTGAATCTAAGTCACTGTTGTCGTAGTCAGCTCTTGCGTAACATTGTTGTTGTTGAGCTCGGTCATGACCTTGTTCAAGTAATTATCGTCGAAGCGAGCTGAAGGTGTATCTTCCCATAGATCAGTCATGCCAAGTTCTGTGCGAATCTGGGATAGGCTTGAGGGAGTAAAGAACATCAGTTTTCCGTTACTTATTTCGACAGCAAATCAGCCATCTCTGACCACATCAAATCAAGACCCAATTACCTTATTAACTGGGCTGACATCACCATTCTTCCAAGTAACCAAACAGGCCAAATCACTCCAGATCAGTGGCCATTTAACCATTTGCTCTCCTAGATGATGATGTGTAAGGAGTACAAACCCTGAAAAGCCTAAAATTCTGCTACCTCTCAGGAAAATTACCACATTCAGCAAAAATGTCATGGCAGATATGATTGTCAGTGAAATGGTCTCTCACGTCATGCTCTCACATATTGTTTTTCATTCTCAGGGACAAGGCTGACAGGTTGGATGGAGAACTGAACACATTTGTTGAAACTTACTTGAAGGAGTAGAGTGTAGGAATCTAACCAGCGGAACCCTGACAGTGAAGATCCTGATACCCAGCCTAGTGTAGCAGGGTGACTCTCTCAACATTGGACAGTACAACTGAGCACGGGGTGAACTCATAGTGCAAATACAACTCAGAAAGTTGTATTGTTATATACAAGAGTAGTTATTGAGCTTCCAAAACATTAACATGGAATTTTGATTCGTAACTGTGTACTTCTATTTTAGTTAACCCCAATCAAAGTCAGAGGAAGGGGGGGGATTAAAACATTTAAACAGCTTTGATACCAAAAAGCAACAGAGTGGTATGGTGCCAGCAGATTTCCGAGGTGAAATTCTCAGTTCGATACTTATAAGCAATGTCATTATTTAGCGTTGACAGAATTTGTAACTGTGATATAGATATGTCGTTGTCACAGTCAAAACTCAATGTCTTGTTTTATTGACAACTGTGTGTCTGCCTGCCTGTCTGCTAATGACAATATTCAATACCCAGCTGCTATCACTGACCACATGCAATTTGAACTTAACACCTATCAGGCTATACACCATAAACAAAAGGCATTGATTTATGGCCCGAGTTCGGTCTCTGTCACATTATGTAATTACACAGACAGGCAGGTGTGATACTTGAACACATGTCATAGTATGATATCTGTTGACTGCAAAATGTTAAACACAAAAAATGAGCATGTATTTACAAAACCCAACATCTCTATATGTACACACACAATGAGCCGTGAGGGCATCTGCAAATGAACCAGCCGTTACACTTGAGTGCACACCCACCCGCTCTGACTGGGTTCGGTATCCCGGCTGCTTCGTTTCTTGGGAAGTAAACCCAAGTACACAATTTTGCACTTTTGATTTGCGATTGTACGCTTATAATTTTGTTTATATGTTTTTTCATAACCAGCAATGTATATTATATGTCATGAATAAGTGATAATTGTGTTTTAATTGTGTTTGATTTTTGGGTTGCATGTGACCTTTAAGTATCGAAATGAGAAAGTGACTCGGTAAGAAGAACGTGTGGTGAAATAGACAAATGAAATTATATAAACAGTTAATTTACTGTCATAACATATAAAAAGCTCGCGCCTGTGAGATATCAACAAAACATTAGAAAAATAGCTCACACCAAGCCTTCACCGAGTATTCACCGGACAACCCGCTTCCAAGCTGCGCGAACCTATTTCACTGCGCACGTGCTATGAGCGCAGCCCAGCTGTTGAAACCAGTTTTCCCCTGAAAAGTCGGGGTAAAATTAGTGAAACGTTTGAACTCCGATTTCGCGCGGGATTTTTCATCGCGTTATTTTTCAACTTTATAAGTTGAATTTGCATTTTTGACGATTTGTTTCGGTAAGTCCACACCGAAAGGTATCAGAATCTGCAAAGTTGGGTTTTACGTTGCGTGTGACCTTTAAGCAACAAGGAGGTTTTCTCCCCCCCACCCCCAAGCTTGCACGAGGACGATATTCTTCAAACTAACGTCTGATCCACCCCAATAAATACCCCAAGAGGTAGACAATGACACCATATTATAAAACACAACAGGGGCATTAGTAAACAAATTTTCAAACATGTTATTCACAATTACGTGTATACGCGTTGAACACATTATTGAACATCGATACATTCCTACCACATTACGCAATGCAATTATCAAATATAATTTGTCAGACGGTTGTGTACATCCTTGTGTCACCGTCGAATCTAATGGGACACTTAATGTTTCAGGAATGTGCATGAGGGTCTAAACCTGTTGCGTTCAAAGTCTATTTCATCTTCAGCACACCAATTTTATAACCTCAAACCACGCCAAGCACACGCGGCCTTGTCCTCTCCTGGCCAGCTGTGTACCCTTCTCAACCAACTGTTCAGGCCAATCCTTACAAGTAGCCATCTTCTCGTAGCCGTATATCATCGCTTCGTCTTACCAGTTCTGGCCTAAATCGGGCAGCAGCTTCCTATGTTCCCAGGAGGGTCTCCAGGAGTTCAAGCTGGTGTCCAACGTCATCGGCTCTCGCCTTCTTTCCCGGTAATCAACGTTAGGTGTCAACTTCCTGTGCGGCATAGAATCCATTACGACATTGTCACTCGTGAAAGTCGTAAAACGGCCGTACACGTCCACTGACACACTGTCTTCGTTTGCAGAACCAGAGTCCGATAATGACACTACTTCCCCAGTGTCTGTATTATTACTGCAAACCACCTGTCTACTCCTTACTTCACATCTCTTGTGTTAAAGGGCATCGGGAACATAACAAGGGCTTCGTTGAAACGTATCGAGGGAGAGAGACTTAAAATCGATGTCACTCTCCGGCTGTGATATATAGAGGGACGGGGCCTAAGGACAGGTCAAGCGGTATTTGGATGGTGGTACGGTGAGCTGGGACAGGGTGTCGGAAAGGTGACAGTAAAACTTCTACTCGATAATTCAAGCATAAACTGGCGTGAGAGGCGTCAGCGCAATAGTGCATGGCACTAATTCACCTCTCTATTAGTGTCAAGCCGCGGGCGCGTGTAAAATCCGTATACAAATGTTAGCAAACAATTACGCAAGGGTCTTTGTCCAAACTAGACCAAACTCTAATCAAGTATGAAAACAGACCCGGCTAACGATGCAACACGATGTTCGGACTCAAACAGAACCAGCTAACGCTGCAGACAGATTGACAGACAGATACCTCATTTACGTCTCACAGCATGTACAACATAAAACATAGACAACATAACCAGGGATCAATAAAAGCACATGCACCATTCCTTATGGAATTATGATAGACTAAATCTAAAATATCTACAGGCAACTACAAATCACAGAAAAACGTTTGCGTTAGTGCACAATTGTAATTTAACTACTATACAACTAACAGTCGTCTTCTATATAAAATAAGGAATAAGGTTTTGGCAACACTACTAACAACTTCATAATTTGATATTTAAAAGCAAAATTTCTGCTCTTCGGTAATGTTAAAAAAGCCACCATAAATAGTACAAACATTGGTAAACAATTCTGATCGCAGGTCGTCGTACATCGAGCACTTAAGTAAAACAGCACCTCAGTTTTGTTGACACAACAACAGATTCATACAATTTTCTAAAAGCATTATGTGGCATACCTCCCAGGGCTTTGCACTTGGCAGTAACAAGACCCAGTGCCCTGCTGGCAGAGTGGGCAACAGCCTTAGTGGTAACATTAAAATCTAGATGTTCCTGTAACACAAGGCCAAGGTATGTATACTTCTCCATCACATTCAGTAAAAGATCACCACATGTAAAACGTGTACGAGTCCTTGTCAGGGAGGGGGGTCTGAAGTGAACAACTTGTGATTATTGCCATACTGTTTCTAGAGCACCATCTGCTCAAACAATCCAGCATTACTTGTAGATCTCTCTCATTCTCGGCCAATAGCACCAGATCATCTGCATAAATAAAATACAGATAATATAATTCCCAACTTTCACCCCTTTCTCTAAGCCTTTCAGAGCAACAGCTAGGCCATTAATATATGTATTGAACAAAAGGGGAGATAATAAACAGCCTTGCTTCACTCCACAGCTAACTGTAAACCAGTCCGTCCTGAACCCGTTAACTCTCACAACTGGAGACACCCGTGTTTATCGCGTGTAGCGCACGCCGCATGTTTCCCAGAACTCCTAACTCGGCTAGTCGTCTACATAGTATGTCTCTGTTAATCGAGCCACAGGCCTTCCTGAAGTCTATGAACGCTGCAAATGTGGATAGCTCCTTTTTCTTCCTCGTATCGACGACAGACGTTAACATTGAGAGGTCATCAACCGTACTCCTGCCCATCATGAAGCCGTTCTGCTCCTCCACGAATATGTCATTTCTCTCCACCCATGTTGTTAGTCTCTTGTTTAGTATGTTGCAGTAGAGCTTGTAGACAACCGATGACAGTGTAATTCCCCTGTAAGATAGGGGTCTCTAGGATCTGCACCGTTACCTTTACGAATAGGAACGATGATACCACGATGCAACACCCTGTTCGGACACGCTGGGCAGTGAGCGTTAAACGTTCTAAATCCTGTATATGAACCAATCAAGTTTCAAAACAGACCCGGCTAACGATCCAACACGATGTTCGGCCTCAAAACAAAACCAGCTAATGATGCAACATCCTGTTCGGCCGCGCTGACCGGAAAGAGTTCAACGTTCTAAATCCTGTTTATGAGGTAATCGAGTGTCAAAACAGAACCGGCTAACAATGCACCACCATGCTCCGACGCGCTGATTGTTACTCTGTTTGGTAAGATGTTACCAGATATGAAAAGGTATATTGTATCACTAATATTAATAGAGAGTAAAATTTAATCCACGAAGCAATATAAGCATGTACCGTTCTAGTAAACGGAATCTCTGTCGGTCACTTTTCCGCTAAAGTTTTTAGAATTTTTCGAGTAAGGGTTTCAATGTATTATCATACCATCTGAAAACCATGGAATCATTTTTAAGCATATTCTTTTTACTGTAATGTTTCACTATTTTGTCGTTAGGAATGCAGGGAGATCGTTAACTACCGAAATATAGACACTGGTGTCTGTAAGTTACCGACAATAGACTTTGTATTAGACTATATTGTAGGAATATTGCAAACGACCGTATTTGGACACAAATTCGTGAAATTCAGGCCAAATTTGCGTGTAAAAATCTATATTGTATGAGTCGTGTACATGCAATTTACCGGGTGCCTCTGTACTTAAGGCAAACCAGTGACTGACTGACTGCTCTTTGTCCGTGTAGCAAATAAACAGAAGAGGATATTTCAATCCTTTCACCCCACCAAGCGTAAAGCTGTCTATATTTTAGTACACATCTCTTCCAAAGTATCCCTGCTACTGATATTGTCATAGATGTTTTTAATAAAAGGGTCAACAACCGCAAATCTCGCCCCTACAGCATTTTAGTACGAGAGGTACCGTGTGTCCATAATCTGCATCAGTGTATAGTAGCATTTCTAAAGTGGTCAAATTCTATGATACTGTCCGCCAATGCAGGTAGCAAAAGTATGGTAAGTCTCCATGGTCCCCTTGACAGGGTGTTAAAAATTATATGTGTTTATCATGAATTTAGAACTGATTTTAGTCACGATGTGGCTGAAATATTGCCGATGTGACTTAACATCTTAACTCACTCACTCACTAGGATACTGTCCAGCTCTCTCTAACAGACTTGTGTCAGAGCTCCGGGCGTTGGCTGCGCAAATTTCATGTCCATGTCGACCTGACCAGAGTTCTTTGGGTACACGTGTGACATGTCAGCACCCAAATTGTGCGTTAAATCGAAGACAAATAGGGTGGTACCGTCTAAAATGTCGAGAGTAATGGTGTCTGTGGAATTTCTCCCTAGACACCCGTATTTCTAAATAGCTCCAGGTATGTCCTATACATCCGGGTCGAGTCGGGT